CAAATCAAATCAAATCAAATCAAAACCCTGGGATGTTCTCAGCAGGACAAAAACTCAGCTCGATGCCAAATTCAGAGATGCTGGGGGTGGTGGAGGACATGTCCCGCAGGCTGCTGACCGAGGAGGAGGTGGCTGCAGTGATGAAGGCCTGTCGAAGGGTAGGGAGGTTTGCTCTCAGCTGAAGTTTTGTTTCAGCCCTAAATGTAGGTGATGATTAAACCCGTCTCTCTCAGTACGTAGCAGAGCGGTCAGTGGAGAACTTGATTCGCCACCTGCTGGTTGTGTTGGACCGACCTGAAAAGCTACTGCTACTGAGGGAAATCAGGTAAGGAGGAACTATCTTTTATTCTTTGATATTGACTCAATGAGTGATACTTATTTTATTTATTTATTTTCTTTTGCTCAGGTATTTTTTTTTCTTTGTGAATCACATTATGTTCTAAAGTCGTCTTCTATCAGACTCCAGTATTTTATAGAAAAGTTAATAGGTGCAACATCTCAGTGTTTTCTTTTTTTCTGTTTTCTTTTTTCTCAGAATGCTCCTTTCACCGTCCGATCTGAATGTGTTCAACAACGTCGTGACTGCGGTTGAAATCGAAGCTTACGACATCCTGAAATATCGCTCAGGTGAAACAGAGAAGTATCTGATTTTCATCCGGATGGAACAAAACTGTTTGTTGCGCTTGAAGACGTGTTTCAGTGATAAAAGTGATGTTTAACACAATTTTAAAAAGGCAAATCACCTGCCACTTTTCATGTCAAACTTTAGACTGAGATCAGCTTATTTTGAGAAATTATCAGTTGTAGATGTGCATCTATTGCTCTAATGATTGTGTATTAAACCTTAAAATGAGTTTAGAAAATGTCAGAACCTAAACCAGCACAAAACAAACTCCATTAAAAAAAATCTGCTGTACTAATTCTGCCATARTGTTAATGCAACTGAGTGTATTAGAATAACTTATTAGAAGTAAGAAAGGCAGGCAGATCATGTTAGAGTTCTGATTGGCTGCTGTTAGGCCCAACAAATTTATGTTCAATGTTCAATTTCTATTCATGTGGCTTTTTTGTTCCCTGYAAAACTACTAAATCTGTTTAACATTCAATGATGTGTTTCTTTTTAAAAAAAGATTTTTGATGATAAACACATAAAAGAACAATAATAGTCATAACAGCCATAATAATAKTAATATTCAGTGTGTATATAGCCTACATCTTATTTGATGGGGGACCTGGATCATGGCCTGGGGAGCGCTGGCCTAAGAGGTCGAGAACCAAGCTCTAAGTTTTTTCTATGTGTAATGTAAACATTTTGTTTAATTTTTCATGTTTCTGCGCTGCAGTTCGAACTCCTCCTCTTCGATCTCCCATTTCTGGACGAGCTCCCAAACGKCGCCTCATCACTCCCATCCCGGGTCAGAACCTTCACTTTACTAAAAAAAAAAAGTTGTTTTTCTCTTATCTTCTCAAACTACATCCTGACTTAAAAATTAAATAAAAGGACCAACATTTACTGATCATTTCTCTTCCAGATTTCAGGGGGGGCTTTGAGCTGCACAGTGCTGAGGAGGTGGAGAAGGAGAGCCACCTGCTGGAGGAGCTGGAGAAGCTCAGCCTGACCGGTTCCCAGGGATCCGGTGGGAAACCCAGAAGCTCCAGGTCCTTCTCATCTCTGCTGGACATACCTGTGGATGGATTTGACCCAGAGCCCAGGGACCTCAGGCCCCCCTCTGCCAGGACGATGCTCCCCAACTGGCTGCTGGCCCACAGCAGCAGCCTCCACCCTCCCCTCTGCACAGACATCAACACGGTTCGCTCGGTCCACTTCGACGAGGCTTCGCTGCGCTCGGACACGGAGAGGGGACGGGCTCTTTTCAGAAACAGCCAGGCTCAGAACAGGAGGGAACACAGCGGAGGCAGGAGTAAAAAGTTCACGCTGCAGAGCGCCAACCGAAGGAGTCGCCCTCCTTTGTCTCAGGTGTTTGGGACACATCAYGACCAACAGGTGAACGGCTTCAAAAACAGACTCAACGGTGCTGACTCTGAGGAGGAGCACCAGCTCAGAACTGTCAGCATCTCCAAAACCAAACAGTCTCTGGGTAAATGCTGAAAATGTTCTATTTTCTCCACAGCTTTCTARGAATGTTAAACTTTGTAGTAACTTTAAGAACGACGTCTCTGACTCCTGCTGTCTTGCTGCAGGAATCAGTATATCTGGTGGGATGGAGTCAAAAATTCAGCCGGTGGTGAAGATCGAGAAGATCTTTCCTGGAGGAGCTGCCTCCACTTGTGACGTCCTCAAGGTATTTCTTTCTGATACATAGTGTTTATCAGGACCYTTCAATGCAGGATCCATTATGATCGAAATACAATAAATCACAGCGATGTGTAYTAACTTGGACATTTGCATCGGACCACGACACCTTGTACACACCGAGGCGAAGGGGGTGGGGCTGAAATTCCCTGCCTCTGTACCTCCGAGCGAGGTTTGACAGAAAGGGTAATGCAGACTCCTGAGAACAGGGGTCTTTGATCGCGATCAACCTGTAGAACTTTGAGACCGTAGATCCCAAAACTAACAGGAAAATGTAATGCACCATTTGAGATTTGTTAATAAACGCTACAAAAAAATAAGAGCTAATTTACTCCTGCTCTGCTCCACCTCCTCTCTGTCCCACAAACACCTAGCTCCGCCCCCTTTGAAATATATAATCATGCCAATGTGCTATGTTTGTTAAATCTCATGTGTTTTAAAAGGGCAGTGTAGATT